CTCGCATGACAGCCCGTAAGGCCCAACGGGACCAGGAAGTTATGTAGAAACGATCGGTGAGCGCCCCTCTACCATTTATATGCCTGACTGCAACCGACAAGACAACGAGCCCGTGGCTCAGTGGTTAGAGGCATTGGACTTCTAACAAACAGGTCGCGGGATCGAGCCCCCAGATGTTCTACAATTCGGGGTTGGATAGGACTGGCTGACGACGGCTAATAGGCCAGAAATGGCCACTCTAGTCTCCATTGTCTTTGTTGGTAATATTACTCTGTCATTATTACGCGCCGCCTAGTGGCTGATGTTTGGGCTGGAGAGAGCCCTCGGACACAAGCAGGATTTCTTGTATGAAATTTGGTGGATTTGCAGACGTTGCAGTAAGTTGGGCCGGTAAACTTGACCCAAATGTGATTTTACTCGCGTCGTCCGGCGGGGCCTCGTAGTTCAGATAGTTGGACTGTTGGTTGTACTAAAGCCTCCCCTTGCTATCGTTGGTTCGAATCCCACCGAGACACCGAGTTTTTCATAGTTGGGTCAAAGTGAATAATCCGTTTGAGTAATCTTTGTTTAAATGACTGATCTGTCAGCTTAAGGATGCAATAAACAGGACCCATTTTCAAGTACTACTACAGATTGTGTAATTTGTGCATTTTCTACATAAGGTAGAGAGAGTTCAGCATGGGTCCGCGGTTTAAGGTGGCCTATTGACTGTCGACAATGTGGTAGGGAACAAATTCCTGACGTGCGATAGAGAATACAACGCACGAAAATTCTGTTACGTCTTTCAATAAGGCCAAATAGGCAGATGCGGCACTTCTATCAAAGAAGGAGTAAAGGTTACACGGAGGGGAGGGGGGAGGACCTCATGACCCATGGCGTGGCGACTGGTTTGACGCCGATCGGCGATCGTGGCTGCGGTGCACGTGGCGCTCAGGTGCACGCACGCACCTCGCGTCGCCGCCGCCGCCGCCGCCGCCTCCGTGACTGGCTGTCAGCGTGCGGACGGTTGCGGGACCGGCCCCTGAGCTGCTTCCTGCCGCGCTGTAAGGACTGTCTTGTCAGTTCTCTCGTCCTGAATTTCGATTTGGGAGGTCTCCCGCCATCGACAGTCCGACTTGAACGCGTCCGCACGACGCGAATGTGCCGCCTGTCCAATGAGGCGTAGTGGGGGATGGATCCCAGCTGCCTTACCTGCAGCTGCATCCAGTTTGAGTAATGATAGCGTGGCGCTCACCGATAGTTTCTACGGGACTCACTCGTCCCGTTGTGCTTTACGGGCTGTCTTGCGAGCCCAATCAGCAGCCGCACAACAGTGCATGATAGAGACAGAATGACTGCTGGTTGGGCTCGCATGACAGCCCGTAAGGCACAACGGGATGAGGGAGTTCCGTAAGAAAGGTCGGTGATCACCCCTCTACCACTGTACATTCCCGACCGCAACCGACAAGAAAACGAGCCCGTGGCTCAGTGGTTAGAGGCGGTAGACTTCTAAGTAGCAGTTCGCGGCATCGACCCCCCAGATACTCTACACTTCGGGCCACTCCAGTCTCCCTTGTCTTTGTTGGTAGTGCCATTCTGCCTATATCAGTTTGAGTAATTTTTGTTTAACTGACTGATCTGTCAGCTTAACGATGCGATAAACAGGACCACATTCCAAGCACTACTACAGATTGTGTAATTTGTGGATTTGCTACATAAGATAAAGAGAGTTCAGCATGGATTCCGGTTTAAGGTGGCCTATTGACTGTCGACATTGCGATAGGGAACAAATTCCTGACGTGCTATAGAGAATGCAACGCGCGAAAATTCTGTTACGTCTTTCAATAAGGCCAAATAGGCAGATGCAGGACTTCTATCAACGCAGGAGTCAAGGTTACACGGAGTGGAGGGGAAGAGGACCTCATGACAGACTGTGGCGTATGGTGTCCGGCGGGCTCACATGTGGTCTAAGGCTGCGTGTGTGGGGAGTAGGTGGGGCGAGGTGCGATTAGGAGGTCTGGAGTGCGACGTTATCTGCGATTTGTATGGAGGCAAATATAACGGAATAGGCCCATATGATGACAGAATGTCCTCGGGAAGCGTGGGCAGCGTGCGATGGGACTCCCGACACTGGCACATCAATCCCACTCCGATGAATTTGCATGTGCCCGACCTAGCCGATGCCTGATGCATATGTGTGCCGTCCGTAAGGACTGTGGATAATGAGCTGGCAGTGCGGCTATGCTATTAGTACTGGGCTAGCTGGTGGCGCTCGAGTTGTTAGAAGAGCTTTTAGATGCAGGAGGTAGGTTTGTCCCGATGGCATTGTGGGAACTTCTACCGTTAAGGAAACGTACATGACCAATTTGACTTGTGCGGTGTCGGAATGGTCTGTGGTGCAGATGAATAGTTTATGACGAGCCTTCCGATACTGCTTCGCTGACTCTGTTGGATGGACTCGTAAGTGATCCAACAGGCCTATTCTAAGTTTCCGAACTACGAGCTGTATGTTTTTTCGTGCAAGGAAAATCATACACTTCTGTATGCTATTATAAAGCGATCACAGAGGGTTCACAGAATTTAGAAGTGGATGTGAACCATGGTCTTGAAAAATCTCATAATTAAAAACTTTAAGCTTTAAAAGATGCTAGTTCTTCAAGTATAACATTTGAAGAGGACGTAATTTGCTACCAATTGAGTAAAAGAAAGAATTTTTCGTACATATTCTCTATGAAATATATTTGAATTTATAAGGGCAAAGAATATCAGGCAAGGGTCGACTACGCTCTACTGGTCCTAAATGCAAGCGCAACGTGGGCATTGGAAGTAAAGCAAATCCAAGGTGATAATAAAATCGTTAATGGGGAAAGGAACCGAGGCTGAACCGGAAAAGGCAACTTGATGTATGACAAATCTGCCGCGGGATTGAAGGAACCCAAGAATCCCCGCAAAAGACCTGGCTGACAGGACACTCGGGGCATCAACACCCCAAACCTAACCGTAACCTCAAAAGTAAACCTAATTTTAAACGTAACTATAAACCTACCGGTAACCCTTACCTTAACACTTGACCTAACACTGAACCAACAAGAAACCCTGACCCAGATCCTTACCCCAGCCTTGACCGTAACACAAAACTTTATCTCAGCCATAAGCCTAACCTTAACCGTAAGCATCCCCTAGCCCTGACACTAGTTCTAACCACAAAAATAACAATAAAACCAAAGAAGAAGATACGACGCCGGGACAAGAGCTTTATTAGCCTGACGTTTCGGATTCCTACTCGAATCCATCATCAGAGACACAAAAGCAGATAAGGGTGGCTCATGCATATGCGTCTGCAGTATTTATAGGATGCAATAGCCATGCTACCGCATACCTATGAATATTCACGGCTCCCCCTCCCCCCCTTCATCAGGGATCGTTGCACGCGGCGTGATGGCCGACATTCACGTCGTTAATTGCTGCAATTTCATCACGTGCGTTGGATGTTGGTGTGATGATTGCTCGACCATCTGACGCGCTGACCCGGGTGTTGGGAAGAGTGTTCACCTGTGCGCTCCCCGTGTGGCCAATTACTCCGCCTAGACGAAGTCTCAGCACGGTGTATTGAATGGGAAGATCATTGCACTTGTTAATAGACTGAGGTCCAGTAAACCATGACTCAAGCAGCTCCCGGCCCAGGCGGTTGTCACTTCTTGCGAGAATTTCGGCCTCGTCAAATTTGAATGCGTGGCCGGAACCCGTCGAATGAGCCGCAACTTGAGAGCTGGCGTCATTTCTGCGCACCGCTGCAGCGTGTTCGGCCATTCGCGTTCGGAGCTGTCTTCCGGTTTCTCTGACGTCGTTGCTTTGTCCGCAACTGCACCAGATCCGATAAAGGACTCCAGACGTGTCTTGCCGTGGCAGTGAGTCTTTTGGTTTCATCAACTGTCGCCTGATGGTTGCCTCCGGCCTGTGTGCAGCTCCAACTCCAGGTGGTGCGAGAAGGCGGCCAACAGCATCCGAAACGTTCTTGACATATGGAAGCGCTCACCAAACTTTGTTGTCCGTGCGGGTAGGCCTTTCGTCCCTTTTGCGTATGCACCGGTTGACAAAGTTGCCCGGGTAGCCATTGGCTTTGAATACCCGTCGGAGGTATTGTAGTTCAGCAATCTTGTCTTCCGGCTCACTGCAGTGCCTTTCGACACGCCGATAGAGCGTCCTTACACAACTGCGTTTGTGACTGATTGGGTGGTTGCTGTTGAAGTTCAGTACTTGCATCGTATTCGTCGCTTTCCTGAACACTTTGGTCTTTAGTCCACCACAATCCTTGCGGCATACGAGGACATCCAGGAAGGCCAGCTGGTTGTTCTCTTCCTCCTCCATCGTAAATTGTATGTCCGGAAGACTGCATTCAGACGTTCCTTGAATGTCAGCAGTTGATCCCGATCGATAACGACGAAGGTATCATCCACATACCAGGCCAAGAACTTCGGTTTGTGGTGTTGGAAGACCAGCGACTCTAACCGTTGCAAGACCGCCTCGGCGATTAACCCCGAAATCGGCGAACCCATTGGTGTGCCCTTCACCTGTTCGTAGATTGTCCCGTCGAACGTGAAGTACGTCCTGAAACAGAACTTCAGGAGCTGAAGAACTTGGGCGCGTCGAAGACGATTCTTCGTTTCATCGTATTTGCTTTGTAGAAGCAGCTCGATTGTCTCGATCGCTAGGTCCTGGGGAATAGAAGTAAAATGGGATGTGACATCAAAAGATACCATGACCTCATTTGGATGGAGGCTTACCCCTTTGAGTTTCTGCAGGAATTCTGCTGACGAAGAGACCGTGGTGTCTGACTCAGCGCTCAGGAACTTGAGACGCCGGAACAGCCACTTAGCCAGTCCGTACGTTGGAGTACCTTTGAGCGACACGATGGGTCGGAGAGGAGCGCCGTCTTTGAGCACCTTAGGGAGGCCATAGAATCGGGCCAAAGCCGTATCTTGGGGTCTCGCCATGCGTCTGCCGGTCGGTGTTATTGCATCTTAGTTCTCCAAGGCCAACAACGTAGCATTACTTTCGCGTGTCAGCGCTTTTACAGGGTTCGTTGCACATGGGACATAGAACTGTCGATCCTCCAGTAAACCTTTGGCTTCTTGAAGGTAGTCTGTCCTGTCCAGCACAACCGTGGAGCGTCCCTTGTCCGCTGGCACGATGACCAAGTCTTTTTCCGCCTTGAGTTCTTTAAGCGCATCACGTTCGACCTTGGAAAGAACTTCCCGCGGCCTGTGGGCCATTAGGAGGGACGACACTTGGTGTCGGATGAGGCTCTTGGTCTCCTCCGTAGCCTCCGTCTGACTAAGGATTGATTCCACTGCTGCAGTCATGTTAACAGGTTTGGCGTTAGTCGTGTTAAACGAAGCTTCGTGCCTTAAAACCTGCATCTGATCCTTCGTCAGCTCCTTTGATGACAGGTTGTGCACCAGTTTGTCGTTTCTGGGCGACGTTGGATTGGGCAGCTTTCGAAATTTGTTCTCCAGTGCTGCGTCGCGTATCATGCTCTGTTCGCGGTCTTGTTCAGCTATCCTCCGCAGGAGCAGATTCGTACCGATCTCACCCATGAACTCACAGCATCTGGTCTTTTCTTGGTCAATCCTTTGACGGTACTTGACAGTACATTATACCTGCCGGCCAAGGACGGCTACGGAGGTGTGGCTTCCGTGCTGAGTACGACTTCGCGCGTTTACATGTTAGACCAGGGTTTCGGGAGGTGGTCAAACAAAGGTATCCCCCGAGTTTATCGATACTTTCGGCGGGGACTGTGAGTCTATCGATTATGGATACTTCTTACCGCCATAGTCGTGCCTGCACTAGCCGACCCGTTTGGCGTTTTCGGGTCTGGAAATTTTCGGTAGTGTTTATGCGATGAAGGACAAAATATCGATCGGCGTTACGGTGTCACCTGTTCGGGGGAGCCGATCACATGAGTGTCAAGCGCTCAACTAGCAAGGGTGTAAGTCTCTGTCGTCGCGTACAGCAGACTGCCAAAGACCCCCAGAAGACAATGTCCCATAACCGTTCTCGTGTTTTTTTTTAGCGTACAAAACGATGGAGCAGCGACTGCCTTCACGTACAGGCGTGTCGCAGATGCATTACCCTTCCTGTTTGCCAGGCGTCGGCACCTGCTCGCGTTCGTCGTCTGTTTTGACGTCGTTATCTGATATATCCTCATCAGCGTGCCCGCAAAGCCCTCCAGCATACACCTTTCGCGGGATTGAGAGCCAGGCGGCAGTGGCTCCCTCTAAATGTGAACTTTACGACACAATGATAGATCCTAATCGTCATGATTGTAGCACACAGACTCTGGACCACTAGTGACCCCTTCACACCCGAAAAAGTTTAACGATGTGCAACCAAACTTGTCACTGGGCAGGGCTCACTATCGCACGAAGCTCGATAAGCTATGGTAGGGGGCGCTCACCGATCGTTCTTACGGAACTCACTCGTTCCGCTGTGCTTTACGGGCGTTCTCTCGAGCCCAACCAGTAGCCGCACAGCAGCGCATGATATAGGCAGGATGTTATTACCGACAGAGACAAGGGATACTGGAATGGCTATTCCTGACTTATTAACTGTCGTCAGCCAGTCGTGCCCAACCCCAAAGAGTGGAACACCCGAGTCTCGAACTCGCAACCTGTTTGTTAGAAGTCCACACCTCTAACCACTGGACCACGAGCCTGTTGCCCTGTCGGCTTTTTTTCGATCGGGAATAAACAGCGGTAGGGGAAGCTCGCCGATCATTCTTACGGAACCCACCCGATGGAGTTCGAGCCTCAGGTGTTCCGCACTTGGGGTTTGGGTATTACTGGCTGACGACGGCTAATAAGCCACGAATGGCCATTCCAGTCTCCCTTGTCTTTGTCGGTAATAATATATTACGATTAGCTAACCTCAATCGCTTCTCTTTGGGTTACAGGTAGTTGCAGGGAGAACTCATGCAAACTTCCCGCATTGTGCGCGGTCAGGACTGGTATATCGCACCCTTAGATTCACCTACGAGGTCATGCACTTAAACTGCGTGTGGC